AAATAATTTCTTCCGGAGGGAGGTCGGGCAGCTAGTTAGGTATTAGGAGGAATATGAACTTATTATTGAAAAAGGATTAAATTTCAATTAAAATATTTTATTTTGTAAAAAAAGAATTTAAAAGAGCTCTATTTTTATATCATTTTAATAATGGATAGTTTATAAATGATAAAACACTCGCATTGGTCCTAGCAGCCCTCCAAAAATAATCAAGAGTTACTATCTTAGTGCGCAGAATGTCTGCTATAAATAATATAATTTATAAATAAGTCCCAGAAATGTATTTATTTATTTAGATATTGTAAGAAGTAATATTGTAATTGGTAGCACGAGTAAATTGTATACAATAAAGACAATAAAAATTTTTTTTAATTAAATAATACATAATGACTTTATATTTGGTGTGATTTAAGAGGACGTCAAACCCGCATTTTTTCTTTTCGTATAGCAAATGAACTCCATTGCAAATTTAAGTTCAAATTTTGTGATGTAGGTACCTATTGTTGTTACTCGTAAGCTTTAATATTAAAGTCGATTGGTCTATTATACAACTTTATAACTTATTATTTATAATATTTAAATTTTAAAGCGAGTTACGAATATTTTTAAACATTAATATTTTACATGCAAGGTAGATATTGATTTTTAAAAATAGTAAATTGTAATAACCAATAATTACAATAACCGAAACCCAAGAATAAAAATTGTGTTTTTAATGTTGGAAATTATGTCAAAAGGAGTAAAAAAATGTTAATAATATATTTAATAATAATTTAAAACAATTTCATTAGTTAATTTGTAAAAATTAATTCAGTTAATTATGTACGTAGTACATAATCTCAAGAGGAAGAACTTGTCAATGGTGACTGGATAGAGTGACTAAGGATGCAAAGGAAGTGGAGATAGGATAACCTAACGATATAGGAATAGCAAAAAGCGCGACAGTTGGAAAGACGTGGTAGAAGCGTGTAAACGGTCTTAAATTCCTGTTTAAGCACTAAAAATAAAAACGCAAGCATAGTAATTCGCAAGCAATATTATATATTATAATATACTGACTAATTTATCAAAAAACAAATCGCATATATTATTGTATTATATTAGGTACTATAATATAGTTGCTACCAACGAATGAGTCTACCGACAACGGTAAAAATTGAACATTAATCTAAATATTTTGAAAATTTAACTGTGTGAACAAAACTATAATTTAAGTAAAAGTGGAATATCGTAAGTTTGTATGATTGTTTTTGAATTACACCAAAATTATAAAAATCGTTATTTATTTCAAAATTGAAAACTTTGAACACTTATAAAAAATGTAAGAAGCTAGGTTTTTTTAAATCTAGGTAAAAACGTATGAAGGTACATGTATTAACTTCTCCAGTCTTAGTTATTTAAATTAAAAAAAAAAATAATTTTTAACTACAAAATAGTTTACATATTTCTGTAATTTGGAAGAAATGTTAACTTAAAATGATGCTTATAAAAAAACTGTGGCAAGGTAACTGATATGAAAACCATGAGTTTAATTTTCAAGATTTTAATAATAATAAAAATATTATAATAATTCATGGATAGATCGAACCAAATTATTTTTAAAAATACATTATGTCTATGAAGTGCTATTATAAATATTATTTAAATGTACAGTTAGGTATTTATTTTTTAATTACAAAATATGGATAACAGCTAAACAACAAAATTGATTTTGTCATTAACTGGTTCTCGTAATAATTCCATTTTTTTGGTAATTTTTGCTATGGTTTTTCAATTATTTTAAAAAGTATGGGGAATTTTCTACTTATGACCTTTCTAAGTATCAACTAGTTCCAGAATCCACCGTCAAGGTTGAGAATTAAAACAGTTTCACTGCTGCAAAAGGCAAAGACAAAATATAAAATAGTTACCTATGTAAAAAAAAATACATATAAACACACACCATAGTCAAATCAATACATTCCGTCACTATATGCTCCAAATATAAAATACCATACCTAAATTGACTGGGTATTCGGAATGAACAACTTGATAAGTTGTGAGTTATTGTAAGACATTAGACATCATATTAAATATGAGTGTGACAATGTATCAAGCAATTATTTTTCAGATTGATAAAAAGAGCAAAGAGAGTACAAGATATACTTAAGCAAACATTTTTTTTAAAAACAGCAATCACTATTAATTTTTTTACGTATTTAAAAAGTAATTTGATTTGATAATTTACTATATAATGTTTAATTAATTAAGCATAACCATTGATAAAACAGAAAAATAATTGTATATTTGTACAACAGACACTGTTGGAATGCGAATTGAACAATGGAACATTTTTCCTAAAACTTACTTCTATGTAAGTGTAGTACATAAATGTTTATTACACAATAAAAACAAAATATAATAAATGTAGGTGCAACCCAAATTTTTCTATTAAATGTGATTTATAACTTGAGAGTATCATCCATACTACATACCTATATACATTTTGAGAGATAATAAATAGTAAATACTGAGAAATAGAGGTCACTGCACTAAAAGACGAAAAAACATCTACAAATTAAAATAAAATATTCAGTTATTTACAAAAATATAGGTATATTGAGAATAACGACGTCATATACAGTATTACAGTAGGTACCCACTTTTAGTTGTATAAAGAAATGGGTGAGATTTTAATTAAAACACGTAAATATAATTTTCAATTAATATTATATAGGTAAATAATTTTACTTTAATAAATCGAAAATAATCGTCAAAAATAATACCACAGTAAATGTTAAAAATTATTTAATTAATTGTAAAAATTATTTTTTAGCCTTGGATTTTTAAAAAAACAAATTGATGGTTTTAGTCAATGCGTATTAGAATTCACGTAAAATAAGTGTATTGTTTGCTCTGTTTAATTGGATAATTTACATTGCAAATCATGAGACGAACTAATTAGCATTTAACAATACAGACATTGTTCGGATGTCATAATATTTTCATTATTTAGAGTCACAATCATAAATATTATTGATATTTGACTAACTTTAAATAACATTTATTTAATAATTTATGATACACTTATTTATTTTCTCTTTGAATAGCATTATTTATATTTATAAATAATAAGAATATAAAAAAGAACAGAAATAATAACTGTATTTTCAAAAATATTGTGTCAATATGAAAACGTCCATATTTCATTACAATTGAGTAAAATATCCTTCAATCAACATATTTTTATTCATTTTTATTTTATTATTATTCAATACAATTACAATTCAACTATATGGTATTTTTAGTATTGCAGATTTTTTTTTTTTCACTTATATACTTTATCATTGTTAGTACTACAAACAATTCTGAAGAAAACTAGGTTGTAAATCGATGAACATACAACTGAAAATGAATTCAAACGTTGAAATTGTAGAAAGGATAAGATGAGCATAGACAATTTGGTGTACTCAACTTTTGATAGAAGCTTACCATTTGGATGTTAAGATGGGTTTATCATCCAAAGATGTTTAATCACATACAATTTGTTTTACTTTTATAGTTGATCAATGGGAAATTTAGTCTAACACAATAAAATAGTTTGGAAGGATATTTTTTTTAATTTGATCAGTAGTTTCTTGTATATAAGAAAACAATGACAACCAAAGGAAATAATTTTTTAAAAAAATGGTTTCAAAAGTTTAAGAAAAACACAACTATGGAAATTAATTAAAGAAATTTAAGTAAAAGCAAGTTCAATGGAGCTCTTATTATTGTTATAACATTAACTTATCATTACTTTTGAATGTTTGCCATACCATTTCTAAGAAGGTGCATATCAGGATTTGTATTTTAAAATAACAAAGATTATTTTAGAGAGAATGATTCATCAAAAGAGCTAGTTTTACATCCAAAAGAGACATGTTTTAAAATGTTTATTGCTAGAATCTTTTACTTTTTACTACCACAGTCTTCAGAAAAATAAACTTGTGTACATCATACTGAAAAACCTAAATATACAATTTTATCAACTCAGTACTTATAGTTAATAATCTAATAAATTTATATTCATAATGTAAACAATTGAAAAACATATATGATTGGTACTACAATGATAGCCACACGGGTACTTATTGAATACGAAATTAGTTTATCAAATAGATAATCAATATAATATGTGTTTAAAAATAAAACTAGTACCCACTAATAATACAATTATAATAGGCAGTATAATTTGTAAATCAAATTTAGAAGTGTAATAAATAATACAAAATCTGGAAAACAGTATTGAACGGGTGAGGAAGGTAGATAAGGAAGGCTGCAGGTTCATTCTTTTCACAGAGTAGTAATTTTATTTTCTTCTTTTTACTTTAATTTTTACTGTTTTAATTTTTAAGCCTTTGTTTTATTTTTTTATTATTCTTTTGTAATGAGTACAACAAAATTAAATTCTACCCCTACCATAAGGTCATAAAATGCAACACAACTGGCTGGAAAATCTTGAACTATATTAACTCAAGGGATGGGATAACAATCTTTTTTTCTTTAAACAAGGTAAGAGATAACACGCTAAGCTTACTGAAGTTAATTATTTGTTAGACTAGTTTTAAATTGAAAGTACTGATAAATTGGTATACATTTTTAATTTACAATTACAAAAAATTGGTAAACATAACACTTTTCTTTAGAAATAACTTAAAACTATAATATTATAATATTATTTTGATTTTACATTGATAAATACAATACATTTAAATTTGAATCCATTGTTATATTTTTGATACTATTAGTAACTTTCATAAAATATGTGAATAATTAATATTAATATTTATCATCAATGAATTAATAAAACTTAAAAGTGATATTGTATATAATATTTTACACCAACACTATAATATATTATTATTGAGTATCTATATATTTAATATTAATATTATGCATGAATGCATGATACATAATTTACAACCGCCCCTAAAAACCAAGTTTTAATTTCTTTTTTACCAATTTTGTGAAACACTCACCTGGCAAATCTTTCTTTGTCTTGGATATTATCATCTTCCATTCTAGAATATTTCTGACTAGAATCCTCTTCATCGGATCTGAAACAAAATAATAAGTAAAATTAAGTAAATATTATACCTTATTAGTTATTAGAATATTACATATGTATACATACAGGTAAAATGTTATACAGAAAATAGGTTATTTAGGTGTTGACAATCTAGTAGCACATCTAATAATTGTTATATTATATTTATGATTTATCATAAATTAATTAATGTGTGCTTGATAAATACCAAAAAAACAACAGGTGCAAACATTTATTTTGTATAGAAATAAGAAACTGTTACTGAAAACAATATTATAATGTTATATAGTGCACCTACTATATATACTTCAATACTATGCATCTTAAAAAATTTGGATAATAATTACAATTAATAAGAACAATATAATTATTCTTATTCATTCAAACTGCAGTGTTCAGGAGTTTACAGCCAGATTCAACACTTAAATTTTCTTAAAAATTATTTATAATAGAAATTGTTTTAATAGAAAATTAAGCTATTAAAATGAATAGCACTTTTTTTAAAGACGACTTTGGGGATGACCCTCTTTCTCGTTTCAGTCAAATTTAATATTTAAGAACAATACATTTTTAAAAAAAGTATGACGTTTCGTAGAATTGGTTATGGAACGTTTGAAAATAGTATTTACTGACGATATAAAAATTAAATGTTTTCAGTTTTCATAAAAACTAAAACGAATCATGAAATTAATAAAACAAGGAGTACCAATTTCTAATAAATAACTTATTACAGTTGGTACCATTTTATATTATTTTTATATATTATAGACTTAAAAAAATTGGTGATCGTAATAAATATATGCTATAACCTAATATGTATGTACAGCATATTACAGCTTAGTATTATTATAATACGAACATAGATTCTCTGGATATTTTTTTTTTTGCTAGAATTCTTTATCATTCAACAATGAAAACATCGTGTTATAAACTTACATGTTATACTAAATTCAAAGAATTTTTCACCATTCTGAGAATGTGAAACAACATTAATCATATTATACAAAGAAAATAATGAATTGTATAACATTACAAACAAATTATGAAGGATCATTTTATTTTATTTAGTTTATTGAAAAATTATTATTATCCTCATGGCGTAGTACATTGTTATGCTAATTACAAAGAAAAACCTCCAAGTTCCGAGACACCTTTAAACTATTTCCATTTAACAATCGTTTCCTTTCGGTACATTACTTCTTATTGTAGTATTATTGGAATGTCAGAAGCGATTTCATTTTTAGGTCAATACACGATAGAAAAAAATGTCAGGGGCCCGATTGTCTGCGAGGGTAAGGGACACCTGTAGTAGAGAACACCTGGCTTTAAGACCTCATGCCGAGGAAATGGTTACTTTGATATATGGACGAAGGTCAAGTCAAATCCTACTATGTACTTTTATAAAGGATTTTTCTGAAATCTATAATTTTGCAATATATTTCTAACCATATTATTTGATTTCTGAAGATGATACAGAATTCTGTGACACTAACACATGTGTGATGTGAGAAAAACTATTGGCTAATGCGGTGCAGAGGATTCAGCGGAACTAATGTGCTATAGTGTTCGTTGTCGTCCTCGGTCTCCGCGCTTCACCATCACTACTAGGCCCGCTCGCGAAGGCGTGTCAAATGCGGTACATCAATCTGAGTGTTGATAAATTATTGTGGTTCAATGTTCAATAAAATAGATATCTATTATGGGTGTATTATAGTATACATATACTTTTCAATATTTTTTTAACGAATTTTTTACCGTAGCTATAAAAAAGTTTAAAGTACTTATATTTTAAAACCGATTTTAAAAAAAATGTTTTAATAATATTTTAATTCAAGATAACAATTTTTAATTGTATTTATTTGAATTGAATTTCGTTATTCTAAAATATTTTGAATCTGACAATATGATAATAATAATATAATATGATATAATATGTAGGTATAGTGTACAATATTATTATTAATTATTTAATCGAATAAGAAACATGTGATAACATCAATATTTTATAGGACGTATCATAATATTTTGATTAAAATAGTTAATATTATTTTTATTATTTAACTATTTAGTAATATGAGTTATTTAGGTTCAATTAAATTTATCATGAATACTTTACTAATAAGTTTACTAGTCTCAAAAGTCAAAATATTTTTTTTTTAAATCAATAATTTTATTATTGTTATATTAAAAATTATAATGATGTATTTTGACTTTGTTAATGTCATGTCGTTAATTGTACATAGCATACACGATACACATATTATAATACACATTAAATACTAATTTCCAATAACTATAAAGAAAAATAATTTATTTAGTCAAGAAATGACCGGTATCTAGAAGGGTCGAATATTTTATATATATTTGGATTACTGATCCAATTTCAATGCGTTAAAAGTTGTACTTACAGTTAATTTAAGTAGTGCGCTAATTAATATACTAATAATGTAACTGAAAACTACACAACCTAAATATTACAAATTTTTCTTTTTGAATAACTTAAAATATTAAACTTAATTACCCATCGTACCATTACCAAGCCATATTTTTTTAAATAAATTTATACATATGATTGTATTGTGTGATTTGTAATACCTGCATACTTTTTTATAACAACGAATGCAACCTAAAAAAAAATTTCCACTAGTTTAAGTATTGTTTATTTGTTGATGTTATCGATCAATTACAAAATATTATTAGTGATACACGTGTGTCCAGTACGTGTTTGTTTGATAAAGGTCAATTAAGCTCCGATTTTGATACCATTAATCTAGACGAGAACTATATTGTTTTTGGATTATATACGTAGTTACTGGTTTACAACATTCCACACGTGAAAGGCATTATAATAGTCTATACAGACAATTATTTGTATTTATTTTTTTTTATTACCTTCGAAAAAACTGATATTTGAACAAGTTAAGGAGAAATTTAACACACGACGAATAATAAAAAGGGGTTTTTATATTCTAAGTTATTATTCTTTTTTTTTTAAGGCAATCAAGTTTTATTTTATTTTGATGTTTTAAAAAATGAAACATGGCAAATCAATTATATTCATAAAATATAAAATGTTGTTATTAAAACCAAGTATAAACAAATGGTAACCGCGAAATTTAGATCTAATAATAAACAATTAAAATATAGTAGGTATATATAAATAGTATATTATACTTAGTACTGTTGTTATTTATATTTAAAGTTAGAAACATAATTAAAATATTCCTATGTATTATTAAATGTATTTATTAGGTACTATACAGTTAAGTTTAACCACTAATAAGTGATAATTACTCAATCGAAATTAAATTGTTGTTTAATATTATTAAACAAGAATTTATTTTTGTTATTCCTAAATAATTTTTTTTAGATTCTATTTAATGTCTATGTACTGTGTCTCGCATCACACAAAGAATCATTATTTTTTAACAGAAAACTTTTTAAAAAAATTTCACCACAGAGACATTTATGGCAATGCTTTACTTTTGAGACACACCATAAACACAGTCTACCAAATTGTGTGTAACAAAAATGGTGGAGATCGCAACAAAACCATTTTTATCACATGAAATTTGGAAGACCTTGTAAATATTTATAATTTATATAAGTTTCGATGATTATATAATACAACGTCAACAAATAACTTAACAATATTAAAATATATATATATATATTGTTATAGATATGACGATGGTAGCACTCTATTATACTAATTATTTTCCAAACATCTACAACAACTCCAACAAAAATATCAACATTTAGAACTCAAAAAACAAATACATAACTACATTATCATCATACAAACTTCTCAACTGCAGCAGTTAATAAAATTGATTAAGATCAAGCAATTCTTTAAAAATGTAATTTTAACATTCAGTACCTAGCATAAATACTAATACCCCTATAGTTAAGGAAAAATTGGAAGACTGGAATTTAATTTGCAAAAACAATTGTTTTAAAAAATAAGTAGAAATTTAGTAGAAATGTTGTATTAGTATTTACTTGCTGCAGAGCCTAGCACCCGAATTAATTGGAACCCAAGAATCCTAAATAACTTGAATACCTTTTTATTTTTCAAATTTCATGTGGTATGTATGTTATTGTAGTTTGTTCAATTTCGGTATGAGTTATATAATAATTAAATTATTGAATGGAATAAATTTTAAATTTTTACAATCCATGGATATTAAATATTAAGTGTTTACATTGTTAATACCAACACATTTTAAAATGTACAGACTTATAAGAACACCATCTACCAGTTATATTTTATGAGCTAAAATAAAATTGTATAGAATATCCCACAACTAAAAAACGTATAGTATATAATATACCTACAGGTAACTCAGTTGGTAGGTACATTAATATATGGTTTTCAAATGGAAATATTTCCTGAACTACTTAACATCTGTTTTCACCCATATTGACCATAATAATTGATATGAGAACAGGAGTAATTATTAGGTTTGTATAAACGTTTTATTCCGGTGTTTGAATGACCGAATACATCCAGTACCAGAAACCCGAATAAATTATCATGATGTGCAAAACCCCGATTTGTTGGAAAATCATTAATTAAATATTTTACTTGTAAAATACAGTGTGTGGTTTTATAAGACAAAAATATGGCATTGATATGAATAAATAAATAAATGTGTAGATATATTTAAATGTATTCTCATTTCAGTGTTTAATTCGTTCTTATGTATTGTTCCCCAACAAAATATAAACAGTAATATTAATAATTTTCCATTCCTTACTGAAATTTTAAAACGTCAAAATGAAATATGTTCACAATTTATAAAAACAACGGGAATAATTATTATTCGTACGGATCTCTAATCAATACTGCAATAAATTATAATATCTAATATAATAAATATGTGTTGCAATATTACGAAAATGAAACGTAAAAACATCCTCCAACAAGATTGACGATAAACTTTTTTGAAAGTAATTATATTAACATAATAATATAATTTGAAACTAAGAAAAATTGTAAATACTATTTGAACACATTTAGATTTTAAATTATATTTTTCATGCTTATAGTTTGTATTTTTATTAAATTCATATAATTATTGTTAAAAACTTCAAGTGCTCGTTTAAAAAAAATCAATGGGGTAAAAACAATTACTACACCACCGACCGATAACATTCTAATTCATTAACCTTATACAATACACACACACACCGTGCACCCGTGAACGTATATTTAACTACCGTATACCGTAAATATACAAGCAAGAACAAAACGAGTGCAATAAATTAGTAAGTCAAAACTACTCATTAGTTAAACAAAATCAACTGATTAAAATATTTTTTTTTTCAAGCTGCTAACATCAAACAACAGTGTCACAGTGTGTTAAAATATTTATATCGGTTACAATGTTTATAATTTAGGCTAAAGCATTAAAACAATGTTCTTATTTGGTATCTGAAATCTGAAAAATACATTGTTTTTTTAGGTATTATATTTTTACTACCATATAATTAAGTGTAAACATACCTACCTAATACATATCTATTTATAGTATAATATATTTTTATAAATTTAAAACAATATTTATAAGGTTTTAATTCGATACAAATAATGTACATATTATGCAATATTTTCAAACTAAAATTTACCAGATATAATGTAATAAATAATGTATAAATTGTATTTATTATGATTGAAATTATTAAAAATTAATTAGAACATAAGAATCTTAAAGCAACATACCTACATATTATATTATCATTTGTCAGACTTGTAAATTATATAAACCAGTATTAATATGATGTGTTGATGTTTATAAAACGTACAATAATGTATACCTAAAATGCAATTTGTAAAAAAATGTTAATTTATGTAATGATTAATGTAGTACAGAAGAACGTCATTTATATATGCAATATAATAATAGACCTCATACTATGAATATAATACATCACTAAACAATTATTCACTGTAGTAGGCATATAGATTTGGTACACGTGTCGTCGACCAAAATCAATATACAAAATACCAAACTCATTTGTTTGGAAACTCAAGTTACGTTATTATTAAGCTAATTAATGTAGATAATTAATTGTACATAAATTAAAAAGTTTAACGAATGGGAGGGAGTCAATTGTGTAATATAGATGTAATTTGACAACAGCAAAGAACGTCAAGATTTAACTATCATATTATAATATAAATTATATATTAATATGTCCAACACCATAATAGCAAGCATGTTTTGTATGTTTTCTAATCGTCACCATTTCTACCACAATAATAACGGTCTATTGTCATAACTCTTAAGGTATCTCGTTGTTTTATACATAAAAACAGGCAGTGGTTTCGTCATACTATATCACACCTCAAGTTTTCCGACCACATCGACCAATTGCAGAACATAATATAATATTATTATAACATATATTTATATAGCGATAAGCCTTGTGCGACCCAACGTGACGTTGTTGTTTAAATATAAAACAATTATATTAAACAAACTGGTGATATACCTATATAGTTTTATTATTTTTATTATTATAATATTGTACTTGAGAGTTTGGTTTTTAATTAGTAATTACACGTCTAGTGTCGATGAAGGATTTTAAAAAGGGAGGGAGGTGGGTGTCGTCGAGTTGGCAATGATCACCGCCGGTATCATAAAATAATATATCCTATTTCTATAAGGTAGTTCACTCGTCCTCTATCATTATAAAACATATAATATATTTTAAATAGTTACTGCTTATTTTAATACATTGTATTTTTATCACTTTAAAGGTATTATAAGTATCAAAATATACCTCCGCCGTTTCTGTATCGCCTCATCGGGCATTTGAAGCGGCGGTGGCGGTGGTGGTTCACAGACGGCCGGCATAGGCATGACCATGGCCATGGGTATGGGACCAGGCTGCAGATAGCCGCCCGGGTCTCCAGTGGAGGACTCGATGGCCCCGTAATGGGGCGGACCCGCGTATCCGTACATCCGGCTGCTGCTACAGCGGTAGTCGTAGCCGCCAACAGTGGCTCATAACACCACCGCGGTCGCGACGTTTTCACGTCCGGAAGCCGTCGCCGAGACGACATATATGTCGCGAAACACCATAAAAATAAACCCACGGAATTATCGAAACGAACAACACCGACAAAATATTATATATTTAAAATATATAATTTTAAAAACGAAATTCCTATTTCACTGAGCTCGAACTGCGAGTGATGAGACGTTAACAAACACACACACGAACACTAAAAAATATTACTATATTATTATACACACGCACGTGGACTGACTGCGGGACGCAAATTCGAGAAACGCGAACGACGCGAGTACGCTGAAGACTAAACCGAACGACCACGGTCGCCGCCGGCCACCGCCATCGCCATCGCCACAGGTACACACGCATTACACGGTCTGTGTTGTTCGGCGTCGGCGGTAGTGGTGGGGATTGTGGAGGGGATTGGAGAGAGGCATTCCCCACCACCGCGCCGCAAGAGTACGGTTGTGGGGAAATGCTTAAAGAAAAAACAAGATTCCAACAAGCATTGCTAGGTAACGCCGATAGCGCGCGCGGTTAATGTTTTGTGTGTCGGGTTTATCGTATTTGATGATGAATAGGAGTATACCAAAGAGGAGGGAAGTAAAAAAAAAAAAAAAATGAACCGTTTATTAGGGCGAGCGGTACTTTGCATTTAAGGTACATAATACGCAACTGCGCTAGGGGAGAACAGGTCGACGACTCCCGAAAGTATAGTAAAACGTATTATTATTGGTGAAAATATCAAAAGTTGGACATCCATGAAGTTTAACGAAATAATATACCTAATATTATTCTTGCAGTTCCATTAGAATGAAACGAATGTACAATTTTCAGCATAAATCGAATGAGAGTGAATCTTACAACAAGAAAATACAGTACTACATTGATTAATGATTACAGTATAATATTAATATACATATAATAACCAATGCTCATAATATTATTGTATAAAATACAAAACTTCATTAAATAATTTAAAAATATTTAGCACAGATTTATATAGGTACATTATTCTACAGAATTTATTTTTCTGACTTACGTGCAAAACAGATTTTTGTATTATTGTTTTAAATACAAATATTAATGTACTTTTTGTAAAATTATTATATATTATGTATATGTATTGTGTTCATATACGAACACAAGGTATAAGAATGAGTGATAATAATAAGATAATATCTATGTATTAATTTAAAACACATAATATATGCTATGTACCTATGCATACTATTAAGAAGAGACAAGTCTTTTAGTCACTATTTTTTTTATTGAAAGTATAAATACTACGATTAAAAAGTATAAGACACATGATGTGGAATAAATAAAAATATAGGAATATAAAATAACTAAACAACTAAAAATTGATACTATTTTCCCCTAATTCTCGATAGGTACAATATGACACATTGACACAAGTAGATTAGATCCACGTCGGCGCGTCATGTCTGGACCCCAAATGATAGATAGTTTCCTTTTGGAGACGAAGGTTCTTTTTTTAATTTTTTACTCCCCATTTATACAAAGAAACTGAGAACTTAACATATGTTGCACATACAATTTCTAACGGTTAATATTTGAATAAGTGAACGACAGGACGTTTAAGATCTAAAAAGTTTGTATTGTATAATATATGATTATTGATTTAATCTTTTGTCTATAGAAATAACTATGGATACTCATTACTCACGTTATATTTAAGACCGGTATAAAACTCTACGATTGTTAAATTATAACAATGCACTACAATTCAATTCTAAAGTGTCTACACAACTAGTCGAATTTTACATATATTTTAGGTATACTTCTTGTGTGAAACTATAAAAAAGTATATAGGACGAACTAAGAAAAAAATTAAAGACAAAATGTTAGATATTATAACTGTACATAGATAACGGGCAAAATAATTATAATTCATAATTGTATTATGATATACTAAGTAAATAATATATATACATGTCTGTGAGTATGTGTGTGTGTGTGTGTAATGTAGGCATATTTGAATGACCTTGTAATATATTAGCTAAACAAGATGACATTCTTATAAGTTATAAATAATATTATTATACCAAAGATAGGTTAGGCACGGCAAAAAAATTTATTTTAAGTCGTAGGGGGAGGAGGGGAATATACATAATATTGGTTTATGCCCTAACCGAACATTTATGGATTTGAGTAATAATTTAATTTGGTGTAAAATTAATAGTACAAATATTTTATTGGGTGAACTAACTAGGTACCTGTATATAAAAAGTTAGATTTCTATGTGAAACCCTTTCAATAATTATTGTTTGGTAAATACCTATTATTTTATATGTTAGGTATTTTTATGGACGATAATCTGTAAGAATTTGATGTTCTACTGAATTTCTGATGCATATATTTTATTAATATATCTGTAATTTACCTATATGTATAAGTATGACCATAACAGATTTAATTTGATTTAATCATTTTTACCTAAAATATTTAGATTATTTTTTTTAGTAATAAGTTTTTGTATACACTCAATATTCACGAAATGTACGATATTATTATCAACCCGTGAGAATCTAATCGTAATATTTAATGTTTCTAATAATATAATATACTGAATAAATAAATATTTTGTATAAATAATAATTAATTTTAAATTTTGTGTTAAATGTATATTTTTTCTCCGAAAAATTGAAAAGTCCGACGTGGTAAAGCGATCAGCTAATTCTTAATAAAAAAATCGAAAGTCGTTTATTTTTTCACATAAATACTTGTACAATAAAACGTACTTTATTATTTTTTACTATTAACATATAACTTTAATATTGATTTTGAATTTTTTATTAAAAGATTCAAAACTTTTGATTTGTCAGATCAGTCAACAAATATGGAGAACAATAACTTTATTTAAATGATATAAAAGAATATTTCAATAATTCCAAGACAATAGCAACCCTATTTTTTATATTAAATTTTTTGTATATCATTATTAATATTTACCTGGTGACTTGTTTGTATTTTAACATCTTGTACATTTATTAAAAACATCAAAAGATTCTTACTGGGTAGTTATAAATAACGGAATAGATCTTATCAGTGGCCCTGTACATCACGTTCATCAGATATTCGTCATCCGTAGAAAAACTATGTAGGTACCCTCACTTTGAACAGACGATTATCCTTTGCTTTACATAATAAATAAATAACAAAATATACATGCACTAACAAACCAACTATATTTTAGTATAGTTAAAAACTAAAAAATACAAAACATATTATGTAAAAGTGTATAGTGTATTATATTCAAAATAAAAACCACAAAAAAGTAATAAATAAGGTTATAATTCTTACAATAAACGGTACTCATTCTTACCCGTAAAAAATAGCGCGTCATCCATGCACAAAATACACAATTTATACTTTTTTAAATCAAAAATATTATTAATTCGGTTTAAATTTTAGTAAAGACATATTATACTACTCATATTTTTGTGAAAGACACAAAGCATTGCTGGAACTCTTTGTCATATATTAAGCAAACCAAGCCGGTACGTCGATGACCAAACAGAAGGAAAAAATTAATATTGACGAATTGGTTTTAGTCTAATTTTAGATTTTGAGCTTTTACAATAATAATTTTCAAATTGTTATCTTAAAATAAAATTGCCATCAAATTTCCGTCGGATCCCAAACGGCTCCCGTCCAAAAAGGTCTAACTAACAGGTGAATTCCGAAACGGCTCCCGTCCAAAAAAAAGCAAGAGTTCGTCGAATAAATCATTCGCGAGTTTTAATCAAATAAAATATCACGCATAGACAATATAAAAAAAATTGTGCTTAACAAATTTATCCGATATAGATATGATTTTTTAAATATTTTTATTTATACATTTTTTAAATATTTTTTTAACGTTTAAAATTTTAAATTATACTATACGCTTTTTTATATAATTTTAATAATTTACATAGTGTACACCAAGACATTTTTAACCACATCTCTTTTGAGACAGTCCTAAGTCTGTATAAAGTGAGAAGGAATTTGTGGTGTACAAAACCAGAGCCGTTTAGGAATTTACCTGTTCGTTAGACCTTTTTGGACGGGAGCCGTTTGGGAATTGACTTTTTTGTAAAACGGGAGCCGAATGGGCTACGATCCAAATTTCAGAGCATGGTAACAATTCTTCAATAATCAGCTTTGATACTGTTATCTGGTAGAATATTTGATCTAGATAATAGATAGTAACTTTTAGGGAATTTAACCCCCTATAATTTTTAATTAATTGGTAAAAAACCAACAATAATAAAAGGTGGTCAAGAGGGTACCACTCTGCTTTACAGTATAGATATTGAGTGGGTCACTGTAATAATGGACGTGTTAAATTTGAATTCAATGATTTATCATTGCACCTATATATGAAAGACAATTCTGAGCGGAGATGGTCTACCAGCCTATATAGTGTATTTTTCATGAATGTTATGTTTTCGATATTGCTATTTAAGCGGGTGTTACGAGTATTGTAGTATAGGTTGATTTCATTTTATGCAAAAACATTCTATTTATTATAATAATTAATACTTAATTATTATAATAGTATATACCTATGTATATAATATACCTATACCTAGATGTCTATGATATTATATCCTTGTTATTAACTTTCGAGTCAGTACCATTTGATGAGGTTTTTGAATTGCAACAAAATAATTATAACATCGTTATTCTTCTATAAATTCGTCAAAATTTGAAAGAAGCATGTATAAAAAAAAGTATTTCTATAATTTTAAGATTATTTGAGTACAATGTAACTACTTATTGGAGGAACCTCCAATTAAATTTTCAAGTATTTTGATCCAAAAAAATGTTTCATCGATATTTATAGAAAAAAAACTTTAAAACAGGTCATATCAAATGACAAAAAAATTTGAACTTCAAACAGTTTTAAAAAATTAATATTACTTTCCAGTAAACTTTTTATTTTTGATAAAAGTAGAGAACCCTATAAATAATCTATTACATTTTCAAATGTTCGATATAAGCAGCATATTTTTTATGCATTTCCAACTCAAAACGACTTGCAAATGTTCGTGATTTTGAAGAATTTTGATAAAATTCTGCCTCGGCGCTCATAAAAAATTATTTTAGGTTTAATCTCAACTTTTTTTTTTAAATTTTAATTATAATAACAAATTATGCAGAGGAACCTTAGTATTTTGTTTTCAAGTATTTTGAACGGAATACCAAAAAATTATTTATGGACAATATAAAAATAACAAATTTAATTAAAAAATGAATAACGCTAGATCGATGGGTACCGGCAGTTGACATTTCCCCA